TTACCCACACATGACTCTGATAACACATGGCTATTACAGTTAGAATAAATTTACACAGAGACACAGTTTAACTTACAGGGTATCTGGAGTAAAACATTTGTTTAAAAATCTCCACAGACCTAAAGTTGTTCAAGTCTTCAGAAGGATCACATACCTACGGGGCTACCTGGAACAGCTGAAGGCGGCTGTGACGATGGAATTGCACTTGAAGGTTTGTCAAAATCCAGAATAGACTCCTAAAGATAAGATTTTTAAATAAATCATTCATGACGTTGCCCAGAGTTCATTAGCTATAGATATCTAGCTAAAGCTATAGGTATTTAGCTAATAATTATCTCAAAATGTCAAAAACTTGGTCTTCATAGAAAAAGAAATTTAGAGTTAAAAACTAAAGGTAGAGTAACTGTCAAACCTTAAGGTTGTGTAAGGTGTTAAAACTACAAAGAGCAATTTGAAGGCCTAACTTGGAAAAGAAACTCCTAATCTGAGGTCTTAACCTATGATCCTAGTCATTCTTATGTGGAGTCTTTTTTTTTTTTACTCTATTGCCCTGGGTAGAGTGCTGTGGTGTCATAGCTCACACCAACCTCAAACTCTTGGGCTCACAAGATCTTCTTGCCTTAGTTTGTTCTATTTTTAGTAGAGACAGGTCTCATTCTTGCTCAAGCTGGTCTCGGACTCCTGAGCTCAGGCAATCCACCTGCCTCAGCCTCCTAGAGTGCTAGGATTACAGGTGTAAACTGCTACAACCAGCCATGAACTCTTATTTTTATTATACTCAACCAGTCAAGAGTACATTTTCTCTCAGCCACTTGCTAGTTCATGTCATTACATACTCTCATGATGAGAAACCATTCTCATCTATCTGCCTGTCTTAATTATCCCAGAAAAGTTCCCAACATTTTGCATACTTAAGCTACACGCTGCAGCGAGAAGTTTAGTTCTTTTGTTTATCTTCCACTAATGTAAAGGGGTAGGCAATTCCTTCGTTGTGCAAATAAGTGGAAGGTTGGAGGCTAAACAACTAGGTGGTAAGTGGCAGGACTGGGATTTAAACCCAGGCCTAAATCCAAAGCTCAAGTTGTTTTTACTAAACAAAAATTACTCGAATTCTGTTAAAGAGTCTATATCACACAATTAAACATACTATATCACACAATTTAACATTTAAGTACTGACTTAACACAAGTTTACAATCTTCTGCAACTGCACTATAAATTTCTTTTTTTTTTTTT